AACAGACTTGGGAAGAACTTTCTGAACAATATTTGATTTCTGTTGTAGAAAGAATGCCACGAGTGTGTTCAGCTGTTATATCTGCCAAAGGTGGCTACTTTGATGAGTCAAAAGTTTGGAATATATTTTGGTCTATAAATTGATTCCATGATTAATTTTTTAAACTAAAATTGCTTATTTGTTCTATGCTTTCATTTCAGAATGCAATGACACAATAAAGTGAATAATTTTCAGTAAAAAATTGGAAAAAGTGTGGTGTTCTAAAACTTTTGACCGGTAGTGTATATATATATAAAACAGGACACATTCCAAGGTTCTACTGCTCACCTTCTGAGTTTTAGACTCAGTACCATGTGTGCCAGACTTTGGCGCTCACTGCAGCTACACGTCCGTCAGATGGAATCACAGCTTCATTTCATGCATTTGTTTTAAACAGTGTCGCCTCACAGAGTCACACAACTCTAACTACAGACTCATAAGGATAGATGTACATGCTGGAAAATACACTTATTCACATTTTCACCAAGAGTTAGTTGAGATCGATATCAATTGTCATGACTGTGTGGTGAATTAGCTGAGCTCAAAGAGAAGGATTGTGTGTTCTATTCCTTATTCTTATTTATCTTTATTTATCTATTCTTGTTGCTTCGGTGTGGAACAGGTACACAACGCATTTCACTGCGTGTTATACCGTGTATAACTGTGTTTGTGACCAATAAAGACCTTGAACCTTGAACCTTGAACCTTGAAAAAAAAAAGCCTGGAAACAAAACCCAATAGCACTTATAAAGCTCACTAATTAATGCGTCATTTGTTCCCACTGTGCAAAAACTATTATGGTGGACTGTCAGACTATCTGTTGGCTGGAAACAATCCAACCCAGCTGGTGTTTTCTACGTCCAGGCCACACAGCAAGCAGTGGTCAGGTGTGGGACCCATGAGGCAAAGTGGGCACCCTGTGGTCACCCGTGCCGACTCTCCAGATGTGGACTGGCAGTCGTGCTTGATCAGAACGAGCCACCGTAGAGTTTCGTCATTGAGTCGTGTAAACATCGATACCAGTTTCATTGTTGCAGGCTTTATTTTGAACTTCTGTCGACGACCACAGTTCAGGGAGACTCTGTCGCCCAAAAGAGCTGATGAGGTCTGGACTTGTCTCGTTTTACCTGCTGTTCAAAGTCTTCAGTATCACCAGTCAGCATTCATAGATGCCATTGCATGTGGCAGTCTGTGTTTGTGAATGCGTCTCTATGTGCCAGTGCTTTCCACTGCATTTGCATTAAAACATGGCATAAAAAAGACAAAGAAGGACCTCATCAACTTTTTTTTACACACACTGCTGCTTTGATTTTTACGTCCAGACTGCAGCTCTGTTTTTTCTTCTTCTTTAGATTAGGCAGACTGACTTTGGTTTTATAATTACAAATTTATCATTAATTTAGCTTGCCTTAACAACAAATCATATGTAGAGCATTTCACAAGGCTCAGAACTCAGCATAAGCTAAATAGTAAATACAAGCCAAACACTGACTCCTGTGCTGTCCTCCATCATGCAACCTCCAGTATCAGAGCCGGGTTTTCTTTGATGCAAATAAAATTGAAACACAATCTTAAGCCCTAATCAACAACTTTCTTCAAAAACAAGAACAGCACAGGTGTAAAAACATCCAGAAGTGTTGTTATAGGGATGGGTACTGTGGATATATAGTGCCCTTAGGTAAAGCCTGTATCTAAAAGATGGACATAGTGTTCAGGTCTGAGGAGTGAAGCTCATGC